ATTCAATTCAAATTTGTAGTAAGTTAAATCTACTATTACATTATGGGTATCGCTCAAAATGGTTCTGAAAAAGCTTTATTTGCTAATAATACGCAGGAGGGTTGCCATCTGTTTAAAAACTCAAGTTAAACTTAAATTAAGGCAGTCAGAAAATTGAAATATGTATCATTATATGGATGTGAGGCGAAGAAGGTTGTGGCTTGAAGGCTGGACTCATCCTTTTTTGCTGTAATGTTAAATGAGTATTGTTTAAGTTGAGTAGCCAAAAATTTTTCGTTAAAAACCCTTACTGAAGGATAGTTCTGGAGAAAGTTAGAATGGTTATCCTACGGTATCGCTAGCGTAGACAGGTGCAAGAAGTATCGTGAGCGGGAGACCAGGGAAACCTTGGAGCATCTTCTCTGCCGATGTCCTGCACTGTCATAAACACGACCAAAATGCTTGGAAGCCTTCCAATTCGAGAAGTTAGAGGACATCTCAAAGCTATGGCCGAAATTTCTACTTACATTCGCAAAAACGTTGACATCGTTTGTGGTGTCCACTTTAGCGCGTAAAAATCTGCTCCAACTGGAGCCCCTTTAATGAAAAAAAAAATGCCAAAAATTTACGGTAAGTCCAAGATACTTAAAATTTGCAATTTGCTTTGCTGAAATTTGATGGGCTACAAAACTGAATACCAAAATTTTGTCTAAAGACTCTGATAAAGTAGTTAGAAATTTCGGTCAAACTTTGCAGAATTTTCATAGTTTTTGTACAAAGTCTGAAATTTGGATTTATATCGTGTTTGTTAAGTAATCAGCATATTTTTACAAAAAAAAAAAATAATAAACATTAAAAAGAAAACTAAAGAAAAAAGACAAAACTTACTAAAATATCGCATCCCAGTTTTTTTTTCGTTCACTGTATGTGTATATCGGTAACTGTTTACCAATTTGTACCAAAATCAGTACAATTGAATTAAAATTTTCGAAATCGTTGGGTTTTGTACTCTAGCATCTGAAGGAATGTATATTAAAAATATCCGATATTTGCTCACGATTTAAGAAAAAAAAATTCTATTTGTTCACTAAAAAATTCGAAGTTTGTGAGAATTGCCCATATATAGCATTAAAAAAAATCCAACTTTTTATTTTGTGTTTATTTACAAAATAGTATGCTTGTTTTATTATAGGGGACTATGTAAATAAACCTTAAACCAAATTTACTTTACTTCACACTTCATACAAAATTACTCGAACCTCCATTTGCATGAAAACTAAATGAGGATTCAGGCAGATTGGATGATAGTAGGTTATAAATATATTTAGCTCGAACTTTGATTGGTCACTTCCCGATGAATCAATTTAGATGCCTGTAATTTAACGTTATTTAACAACTTGATCCCAATCGAGGCAGCCGCCACTCGTACATACATATGTATGTATGTAGGTGTGCTTTAAAGGTTCTCTTGGTAAGATTGAACTACACTCGACCCAGACAAAGTTCAATCAAATCCGAATTTGAAAGTCATGCGTTCAATAACCGTCGCATTAATTTTATAAGATTCTATTGAATATAAAAATGTGCATAAATCATTTAAGTGTATCTACTTGAGTGCTGCCGGTAAAAACCCACTTGCAGATGCCATGACCAAGTAACGAAAACTAAGTAAGTGGGTGTGTTGCAACAGCTGTGACAAAAAATCATTATGCGAAAGCAGCAGCTTTAGCGAATCAAAGTGGAAAGCAAAGATGCAACTGTACTATGGAGGTCAAAGGAAACAGTGAACCCAGTTGTCTGTGGCCGAAGTAAGGTATATATGTATATGTATGTTAGTGTGGTTTAATTTTAAAGCGCTGATAAGTACGCAATTTGTTTTCAAAATTTACGTATGTATTTGTGTGTGCCCTGTAGAAAAAAATTATCAATTGATAGAAAATAACCCGCTTGTAGTTACCTTTTTTGTGGGATTTCTATAAAATATATAACTTGTAGTTAGCAACAAAAAGCTAACATGAAACTAGTTGACAAGTAATGAGGGAGATAGTTTTCTTTAAACGCGTTTGATATTTTATGTCCAAAAGTAGTTAGTTGGAAGTTAGTTACATCAAATGCAGAGGTAAACCAAACCACCCTTGACTATTTCGCGACCATCGCCATAGAAATATAGTTAGCTTTCGTCAAAGAAAATATGCGGATAATAAGTGACTTTTAGCTCCTTCCTAATCAACTTCAAGTGAACTTATAGTTAGATACATTTCCTGCAGGGTGATTTAGGGCGCCAGCCAGAGTGCGATGTTGCACCAATAATATGTGATTATTCATCGGAGGCCCCACTCATACAGGCGGGAAGCAGTCAAATAACAAAATGATGAACAACCAACGTTGAATATGCTTTAAGTTAAGCGACTTTGGTTGGCTGGTTGAATGTATGGTAAAGAGTAAGCGGGATTCATTTGAATGGATTACATAATTTTGTATAGCTTGCGTGCGGTGGCACTAAAAAAAAAGGCAGCGAAGTAAAGAAATATGCACACTAGGGCGGATCGAAAATTTAATTTTTCACATATCCCTTGGTAATAGTAAATATATATATATATATTATAACAAGAGGTCAAAACTAGCATGAAAAATAATAATCGTTTATTTCAATTATAAGAGCTCGCGTAACGAGCCTCAATGGACACACTGGTCGAATAAGACCGATTCTCGTTAAAAACCCAGGGTTCAGCAAAAAGCTGCGATGTATACTATTAGATAAAAGTTAAATTTCTGGCAGCCCTTTAATTCATAGTTACTCTCAAGCTTACCTTTTTTAAACCAAATTGTAATTGTTCCTTTAATTATTGCGCTGATCTATAGTCAAAGAATGTAAAGAACAGCATTCATATTTCTGGGGTGTGTTTAGGTTGCAGTTTCCAAAAATCGTGGAAAAATTTTGTTTATGCAAATAAATATGGCAACACTGAACTATCACAAATTGGAGAAACACTAGTTAGTTTATTTATCTTTAGGCATAAAATATAGAAATTGCAAATAAAGGAAGTTGACAGCAATTTTTAGTTTTTTGACTTCATTCACCCCGATTTAGAAAACTGAGCAAATCGGGGTTCTTTAAATATTATGTAAACATCCGAAAACCTAAAAACGTTTGTAATAAAGCTTGTCTATTTTTGTTTATTTTACACTTGGTTTTTGAAGTAATGAAGAATTGAAAACTCCTACGGGGAAATTATCGTTTTTTTAAGTTTTTCTAAATATCTCGACAACATCTATGGTAATCTTATTGAAAAATTATATATGAACGTCAAATACTAAATTTAATAAAATTTAATTTGGCGTATCGACTTGTTTATAACAATTAACGCTTTCCTTAGAAATTATTAGCCAAATTTTCATTTTCAAAATCCATACACTTTGAATCAATTGAGCGGGCTAAAGATATGTTTCAAATTATACTTTCGTGACCAATTGGTCAAATGCCTTTTATATGCCCCCATAAAAAATCGACCCAGCCTAATGTAATGCATAGACAGCAGCAGTGCTATATGTACATCCCTGTCGGCAATTTCGTAGTCGACTACTAAAATAGCTAACTTTTAGCTTACTTGTTATGGCAAATTCGTAATTGGTTTTAAAGACACACAGGGCTCAACCACAATTTTTTCAAAATTTTCACTTTCAACAAAAATACTTGTGCACAAAAAGACAAATTTTAAAAACAATTATATTTTCATTAGGTATCGTGTTTTTTTTTTATTAAAACCGAGAACACGTGTATTTGGCCTACATAACTTATTTACAGTAATAAATATAATCGTAAATATACATTTTGTAAAAGTACATATCGACGGCTAGGTGGAAGAGCGACCTATCTCGGCAGGCAGTTCGAAAACAGCCTATCTCAAAAAACTTTCCAAGTACGCCCTATTTCATAATTTGATTGAAGAACGCCCTATTTCAAAACTTGGCTCAAAATCGCCCTATGTCAACATACTTTCAAAATATTTTCAGTTCAAATAGGGCTTTTTCGAATCAAATTCTGTGATAGGGCATAGTAGTCAGTTAAAAGTAACGTAAATTAGTCGAGGCGTAGTCACCCCTAGTTCAAAAATAGTGAACTTATAGTGCACTTATAGTTAGTTGAGTTCCCTACAGGGCTACTTCTTACTCTTTACTGTAATCGTACGAATGAATGGTTTTCTGTGAATATTGGTATTTTCCCGCTAAGCGATGACTCATTAATGCACGTACAATCTGCATTCGCTAGCTGAGTTTATAATCATATATCCATTTAATATTGCCTAGCAACTTTATTGCCTATAATTTGACTACGTAGAAGCATCAAGGCCTTTCTTTGCCTGAGTTAAACTATCAGCTAAGTGTTGGGGATTTCAGAAGGTGCGTGCTGGGCACACACGCGTCACTGCAGACGGGGTTAATGTCACTCTACAGACACGCTTCATATTACTGGGTAAGTAATAACATAACGAACATAAAAAGTGAGCAAATAAGACAGAAACAAATCAAAGCCATTATAAAAAAAAAAATAAAAAAATAACAACCTATAGCAATTTTGATGGCATTGTTTACTTTGCTTCTTCTTTTTTAGTCATTGTTGCTCTCGGTTTTCGCTCATCATTTAACAATTAAAACACATCATTGATTGTAACACCATGCCGCAGCGATTTTTTTTTTGTTTCATTTTTTTGTGTCTCTTTTTCGACTCTACTTTTTTCGTTAAATATTTTGCGTGTCCCATTTTTCTGCGCTTACTGTGTCAACTCTTTGGCTTATTTTGATTTGTTTTTACACCTCAATTGCTTATTTGCTGTTGTGTTTTTTTATTTTACTCTTTTGCACATTTCCTACTCTCTTACCTGTGCACAATTTCCTCGTTTTTGGGTTTAACCAACATCACACAACTCAGCTTCTTTGTTTTGTTTTGGGCCACTAGCTCAAACGTAGTGATCCAGTAATTTCTTAGTTTTCATATAAATTGCTTGTAGCCTATTGGCGTTGGCACAGTTCATTTCTAAAGACACCAGTGTAAAGTAGTGGTAGATGCGAACAACTGTCTAAAGGACATTTTATGAAAACACCTAAACGGTTACAAGCAACAACAAGAGGTGAGCAGCTATGTGGCCGATTATTTTAAAACGAAATTTTCGTTAGTTTAATTCGATAGTTTTAGTGTGTGCAATGTGCTGTGAATTAAATTGATTGTATTAAAAAAGCGAATACAAAGATTAAAACTTAAAGGATTGCAAAAAAGTTTGCATATACACACATACATCCAAACACAAATTCATCGATTAACATACTAACATTTAAAATGAAATGGTGAAATTAATCGACATTTTATTTGGCACTACTGGAATTGAGCAACATTAAAATTCAAATGATTTGTTTTTGAGCAGTTTCCATTTAAAATATTCACTACTTTCATTCAAAATATTGAAAAATATGTGTTAATCAAATGCAGCGATTTCAAATCGAAGGATTTGCAGAATGGGCGCGATTATCATCAAGATGAGCTACATACATACGCACATACATCTGAAAGGCTAGCTATGTTTTACATTTAATATCGTGCTTAATAAAGATTTTAAAATTAGTCAAGCTTGATAATTTGCCATAAATTATATTTCCACTAATTACATTTAGAAATTTGAATTTTAAAGCTGCTTTCAAAAAAATTTGAATTATTTTTTTTAGGCAACCCCAAAAAATATTTTAAAGCTCAACATGAGAGTTGCAAAAAAGGCCAGTCATGTGAACCGGTACATTTGTAAAAAAATAAATTTTTTTATCGTGGTGTACTGGCAAAAAAAAAATAAAAATTTTGACGAAAATTCGAATTCTTGTCTTCATAAACCTACGATAAAATTTAGCGTGTAATTTTCTCGTAAAAAATGTTAGCCCTTTATTGAAGAAGCTTATAAAAATTGGCAGATAGAGGGTTAAAATGCTCCGAAAAAATATTAAGCGGAAAAGTTTCATGTATGAGTGGTAATCCCGTATGAAAAAATCATTTGTTAGTGAGATATGGATCTTTGTCTTAAGTTTGGTCGCAATATCTTAAAAATAGCGATTAAATAGTTAAAACGTACTAAAACAGTATTAAATTAAAAAAAAAAATTTAAACAGGAGTTGTGTTTACATTTAATTGCGGAACCCCTAAGACAAATTAATTTGTATTTACCTACAATTAAATAAAATAAAAATAATTGAACTTGAGACCAAAAAGTGGAAGCTTGAACCCACTGTAAAAGAAATTGTGATGAGGTTTTGAATAAATCTTTTACCACATTGAGATACTACGTTAGGGCATTATTTATTTGAGACCCTAAACCCAAATGCTTAAGTTGTTCCACAGTGCAATTCTTGAGTAAATTTAAATTTAACAAAAAATATATATATATAATTTTTTCTTTTAATTCAACTTTAAAATTGCTTCTCTGTTTTTTTTATATTTTTTTTAAGGGCATTTCCTTTTATTACAACGCTCTAACTCTATTTAATATTATTCCCTAAGGTGATAACGCCAGAACATCAATATTTACGTATCAAATTTTTAGTGAAGGTTATCCGATGTCCACTGTTATTTTTTAATTCGAAAAATTCTTTCAATGTTTTCCTGAAACCTAACCGGACCATGCATATACCGGTTACAATGAAACTTCGTTTTTTTTCTTCATCTAGAAAAGACGACAAATACCGTATTAACTGCCAATATGCGATTTTTAGCATAGATGAAGTATGTATTTGTTTTTGTTCGAGATAGGACAAACGCAGAGATGAATTCTCTGAAAAATGTAGGCCTGTATTATCTTAATTGGGTACTTTTAAGGTTCTATTAGAAATAATTTATCTAGCTTATGCCTTACAAAAAGGTAATTTTAGGGTACCTGGAAATTTTAGCTATCTACTGGTGTAGTAAAACAAACAAAAAATGTAATTTTTCCACATAAAATACTCATTATAGCGTCTAAGCTAGTGAATTACATCCGCAAATGCATTTCCCCAAAATTTCACAAATTACATTTCTTAACTACTTCATACGTGGTATATATGTATGTTTATATAAATACATAGTAATGCAATGCAATTTCCGGTGGCCTTATAACTAATTCCGAGTTAATTTCCTCATCCTAAGCGAAGTGTTGGCCAATCTCAAAATTTCATAGTATTTATGTAAGTATTTTTTTGCCACAAATTTCAGATAGTGTTGAAAACTTCGATACTTATGTACCTCAAAAGTTGCATAATAATGCCAATGAAATGGCATTTCTCGTGCTGTTTTGTTTTGCAATTATCACCACAGTTGCTATCGTTTATTTTGCTTGTTTGCTTGCTCCATTCCCAGAAATTGCGAAAAAGCATCGATTTGCAAGCGCCAGAGATGAAATCTCGCAAACCGATACCCTTAAGTGTAAATGGCGAATGGGAAAAATAATGGAAAGACCTAAAAAGGTGAAGTAAAAAAGAAAAAAAAACCAAATACGAAGAGGTCGTAATGCACCTATGGTACAACTGTTATTGGCATTGAAAACGAAAGTTCCAAGAAGGTGGTAAACATATACTCGTATATGATGGTTTACTGTGCACGTGTATGCATATTTGCATAGGTACATTAGGACGGGTCATTATTTATGCACGCTTGACATAATCGAATTCTAGCTTTAATTCTAAGCAAATTTGCCGAAAAATCCATATGTAGTTCTAAAATGAATTTGGATAAAAGATAAATGCACAAATGGATTGCCCATACCAAAAAAATCCCTATAGCATGTTTTTATGCAGCAAAATACTAACAAACCTATTTTCGCATTTTGGCAAACTCCAAATTGATTTTAGACCCATGGTTCCTTCGGCAAATTTGCTAAGAATTACACGTGGAATCATTCTGTACTTTACGCGCATAGTCGAAAAAATGTTCCATACAAATTGACCCGACCTAATGTACATACTTGTATGTATGTAAATGCAATGCAATAAAAGCAAGAAAGGAGTACGATTGCCCAAATATGTACTATTTTAAATTAAAAAGTGAGTCACTCGTGAAAAAAACCGAATGATTGTAGCTTATATGCACTAAATACATACACTCCCATGCGCTTGAATAGGGACAATGCTTTTCTGTGTTTTTCTCGGTTATTTTGATTTTATTTATTTTCCATTATTTCTCAATTAAACTCCAGATCATTCTCTAACTAAAACTAAATAAACGCAAATTTCAAACCGCAAAATTTTTAGAATTATTTTTAGTATGCAGCTTTGAAGCCCATTCAATTCTACGTAGTGTAATACAAATTTAAACTACAAAGTATAAAAAAAATGTGAGCGTGTGGTATATGGAAAATTTACGAAAGAGCGCTTGCGACGCTTACACTTTTGCTAAGTGTTTGGCCGAGCTTCTCCTCCAGTTTGCGGTGTGCGTCTTGATTTTATTACACTAATAGAGAGACCTATAGTTTTACGCTGCCTCCGAACGGCAAATGAATTTTATGAGAAGATTTTTCATGACGCTGTTAGAAAAATCTTTTTCTAATTTAGATATTTCCCGTACCAGAGATCGAACGCAAGTCCTTCGGAGTGGTAGTGCACACTCTAACCAGTTCAGCCACAGCGTGGCAAACTTTCACTGTATTATAATAAAACTGAACGAACTACCAAATTACATACACAAAAAAATTCTGAGAACAACTTTAAATTTTTATGGAAATTTTATGCTTTCGTTTTCAACCAATTGGTGAACTTGCGTTTATATGGCTTTTGTTAGAAAATTAACTGTAATTTAAATTAAAAATAATGAAAATTAAATAAATGAAAAATATACCAAAAATGTTAAAAAGCATGGTCCCTATTAAAGTGCATGGGAGTGTATATACATAAGTAAGCTGCATAAAAGTTTATTATTATACTCATGCCGAATAACGAACGCATGCATGCGTATGTACATACATATACATATGTATGTATATGTATGTCAGTGTGAATGATCGCCGGCTTTATTATGGTGATTGCGCAATGCAAGTGTTTGAGTATGCAAATGCCGTACGAAAGAAATGCAAAAATATCCATGCATACATATATATGTATTAACATAATAAATAGTACTAGTATCGCCCCGTTGTCGAAATTCGACCACTTCACTTTTTTCACACACTTTTTCATTTTGCCAGGGAAGTGTTTTAGGTCCACCAGCACCTGTTAATCGTCTAGCTCGCTTACACATACTGTTTGGTGGAGTAATATACATTCTGTTAAATAATTTAAAAATTCATAGATGGTGAAACCAAATCGGGCACCTACCGGAAAATAATACCTTTCGAACAAAAGAAGAATCATCCAAATTGGTTGAGAAACATAGGAGCAGTAGGGAGGAATAGATTTGTATGGGATTTCGTTAGCGTATTAATATATAGATGTAAATGCGTATACGAATTTACTACATATACAAATGCCTGAACATATATTTGTGCTTATACATATGCAAAGCATAAACATTAATATACATTGGCACACGATGACCTTCATTTGTGGTATTTTAAATATTGATTGATAATCTGATTAGCGTAGAGTCATAATTTTAAACGTTCAACGTGTTGTATGAAAAACATTTTGAAACTATGCATTTGTATTTGCGTTGAGCAAAAAAAAGTGTCAATGTTTTGAGTGGGAAGAGGTCACTGCTAATTAACATTGAAATTTATTTAGGTTAATGAAAGCATTGGTTAAAATAATTGTTTATGTAAACACTCTAATTTGTTAATTAAACTCTGCTGTTGTGCAAACACTATTGCTTATGTAAATCATTTAAGCAAGAGTGTTTGTTATTTGAGCGCTAAATTTGCAAATAGACTAATAAATATTAAAGTTTTGGTAGAAAGATGGAAATTAGGAGATATGTATTTACAAAGTTGAAGAAACTAGAACAATACCAAATAAAGACGCGCAGTCTGGGTGCTTCCGAGAGTAATCATACCCAATATCAATCGCGTGGTTCGAGTGGGTAATGGGTACAGGAAAGGATGGCTTGCCGAATTGTACAAACCTTAAAGTTATATGGAAATAATGAAACGAATTAAATTAAGAGTGAACGCACACGATGCACAGTGACTAT